GGAGGAGGGTTGTGGCTTGCCTCTAGGAGGAAGCAGAGCGTAGCGCCGACGCGGAGGCGGCGCTCGCGGGGGAAGCGCGCGAGGAAGTCGGCTACAACGTCGGCCAGCGGGCGCGCAGCGGATGCGAGCAGCGCCAGGAGGCCTGCCCGCTCCTCCGGACGCAGCGTAGGGACGGGGGCGTCCACCGACATGGCCGTCGCTGTGGCGGTGGTCGGCGGCGAGATTTTTGTAGTTTTGGTTTTTCCCCTCTCGGGTGAGAGATTCGGGGACAGTGGGGGGAGTAGGCGACTTGAGGATGTGGATCGGACGGCCTGTTATATATACTAGCAAACATATCCGTAAGTTGCAACATGAGAACAAAATTCACCCCAAACACAAACTTGACCACATCAGCAAAATCCTTGAAAAATATGTATGTGTTTGCAACTGTAATCATTAACGAGCAAGATAATATCATATTTGGAATTATATTTTTCTGATGGATTTTCATGTATGACATGTTAGATTTGGAGTTAGAGTTTGCAAGATATAAATAGTTTAAAAAGTACTTGATCTTTCCAAAAGAAATGCAAAAGAAAAAGGGAGTAGGGTGATATATTTGTTTGCACATACAAATATATATTATTTGTTTGCAACTGTAATCATTAACATGCAAGATAATAGTATATTTGCAATATATATTTTTGTTTGTTATTGTAATCATTAACATGCAAGATAATAGTATATTTGAAATCTACACATTTTTTTGATGAATTTTCATATATGACATCTTAGATTTGAAGTTAGAGTTTGAAAAATATAAATATTTTAAAAAGTATTTGATCCTTCAAAAGAAAGGAAAAGAGAAAAAGGGAGCACGGGAATCAAACCCATGATCTCTAGCGTCATAGGGCAAGGCCAAAACCAGTGTGTTGCATGTATGATTTTGACACATATTGTGATCTCGCCTTATTGAGCTCAGAGCAACTCTAGCAGACCCCGCATCCGCCCCGTGACCCGCAAAATAACCGCCAAAATGCGGGTACGGGCCGGAAAACCTGCCCGACCAGACCCCGCATCCCACCCCGGACAGCAAAAAATTTTAGGGGGCGCGACAAAATCCCGACCCCAACCCGGGAAAATGTGGGTTTCCCCCTCGCGGCTGCGGTGCCCTGCATCGGAGAGAAGTAGTTGGCAGGAGGGACATTTCAGCCCCGCGCGCTTTCCCCCCTCCTTCTGCCGCCGCCCGCCCTTGCTTCCGCCCGCTCGCCGCCGGCGATTCCGGCCATATCTGCAGGCAGAATCGCGCTGCGGGGATGCCCCACACCCTTCCGCGCCGAGCCGCTGCACCGACCCCCTGGATCCGGCGAGAAGAGCCGCCCCTCGTCGCCGCCGCCGCCGGGGATCGACCACCGTCGAGCGCGCCCCCTCGTCGCCGCCTGGGATCACCTGCCAACGGTAGTCCTTTTTGTGACTTTTGCGAGCTGTGTAGTTGATTGACGCATTGGTATGCGTGTAGATGGAGTTGAACCCATGCGAGAAGTTCTTGCTCTCCGATTCGGACGTCTCGGATGTTGAGACCATGCTTGCAACCTTCCGGCAGCAAACATTAGTCATGGCGCTTGCCGTGAAGGAGCATGAAGACGAGCACGAGAAGAGGAGGCGAGGATCAACTGTCGGGCGTCTATGCATTCCTCGGAACCGCCATCTTGGGAACGAGATGTTGATGCAAGACTATTTCGCGGAGAATCCTACATATCCTCCGCACCTCTTCCGGAGAAGGTACCGAATGCGCCGATCCCTCTTTGTGAAACTTGTTCAAGCTTGCGAGGCAAATTGTTGGTATTTTACTCAAAGAAGGAATGTCGCGGGCTTAAAGGGATTTATTGCGTATCAAAAAATCTCCGCAGCTATGCGGGTGATTGCATATGGCGTTCCGGCTGACTATGCCGATGAGTATCTTCGCATTGGTGAAGATAGCACAATTGAGTCTGTGCGTAGATTTGCAAAAGTGATCGTCTGTGTCTTTGGTCCTGAGTATCTTCGGGCACCCAATGAAGATGACACAAAGAAATTGATGGCATCTAATGAGAGGAGAGGTTGGCCTGGCATGCTAGGTAGCATTGATTGTATGCATTGGAATTGGAAAAATTGCCCCAAGGCTTGGCAAGGAATGTATTGTGGCAAGTCTCGTAATGCAACAATTGTGCTAGAGGCCGTAGCATCCGAGGATTTATGGATTTGGGATTGCTTTTTTTTGGTATGCCAGGCACTCTCAATGATATTAATGTGTTGCAATGGTCTCATTTGTTTGCTAGGCTTGCTAGTGGTGATGCTCCTGCTTGCAACTACACTATCAATGGGCATGAATACACAAAAGGGTATTATCTTGCAGATGGTATATACCCTCCTTGGTGCACATTTGTCAAGAGCATCAAAGAACCCAAAACAAAAAAACAATGTGAATTTGCAAGGGTGCAAGAGGCAGCCCGAAAAGACATTGAAAGAGCATTTGGTGTTTTGCAATCTAGGTTTGCCATTCTCCGTGGTCTTGCTCGTTTTTGGGATAAGAACACTGATACATCTCCAACGTATCTATAATTTTTGATTGTTCCGTGCTATTATATTACCCGTTTTGGATGTTTATGGGCTTTACTAAGCACTTTTATATTATTTTTGGGACTTACCTATTAACCGGAGGCCCAGCCCAAATTGTTGTTTTCTTGCCTATTTCAGTGTTTCGCAGAAAAGGAATATCAAACGGAGTCCAAGCGGAATGAAACCTTCGGGAGAGTTATTTTTGGAACAAACGCAATCCAGAAGACTTGAAGTAAACGTCAGGAAAGCAACGAGGAAGCCACGAGGGTCCAGGGCGCGCCCTACCCCCCAGGCGCGCCCCCACTCTCGTGGGCCCCTCGTGTCTCCCCTAACCGACTTCTTTCACACACACACACACACACACACACACACACACACACACACACATATATATATATATACACATATACCCCCAAAACATCGAGGAGCACCATAGATCGGGAGTTCCGCCGCCGCAAGCCTCTGTAGCCACCAAAAACCAATCGAGACCCTGTTCCGGCACCCTGCCGGAGGGGGGATCCCTCACCGGTGGCCATCTTCATCATCTCGATGCTCTCCATGACGAGGAGGGAGTAGTTCACCCTCGGGGCTGAGGGTATGTACCAGTAGCTATGTGTTTGATCTCTCTCTCTCTCTCTCGTGTTTTTGATTTGGCATGATCTTGATGTACCACGAGCTTTGCTATTATAGTTGGATCTTATGATGTTTCTCCCCCTCTATCATCTTGTAATGGATTGAGTTTTCCCTTTGAAGTTATCTTATCGAATTGAGTCTTTAAGGATTTGAGAACACTTGATGTATGTCTTGCATGTGCTTATCTGCGGTGACAATGGGATATCAGGTGGTCTACTTGATGTATGTTTTGGTGATCAACTTGCGGGTTCAGTGACCTTGTGAACTGTCTTAAGGTGTTATTCTAGTACGAACTCTAGGATAGATCGAACGGAAAGAATAGCTTCATGTTATTTTACTACGGACTCTTGAATAGATCGATCAGAAAGGATAACTTTGAGGTGGTTTCATACCCTACAATAATCTCTTCATTTGTTCTCCGCTATTAGTGACTTTGGAGTGACTCTTTGTTGCATGTTGAGGGATAGTTATATGATCCAATTATGTTATTATTGTTGAGAGAACTTGCACTAGTGAAAGTATGAACCCTAGGCCTTGTTTCCTAGCATTGCAATACCGTTTACACTCACTTTTACCACTTGTTACATTGTTGTTTTTATATTTTCAGATTACAAATACTCATATCTACCATCCATATTGCACTTGTATCATGATACGTCCATTTTGCATCATGCTTTTATATCAATATTTATTGCATTATGGACTGTTATTACACATTATATCTCAATACTTATGGCTATTCTCTCTTATTTTACAAGGTTTACCATGAAGAGAGGGAATGCCGGCAGCTGGAATTCTGGCTGGAAAAGGAGCAAACATTGGAAACCTATTATGCACTGCTCCAAAAATCCTGAAACTCCACGAAACTTGTTTTTGGAATTTATAAAAATTATCAAGCGGAAGAAACACCTCAGGGGGGCCACACCTGGCCAGGAGGGTGGGGGGTGCGCCCACCCCTACTGGGCGCGCCCCCCGTCTCCTGGGCCCCCTGGTGGCCCTCCGGTGTCCATCTTCTGCTATATGAAGGCTTTTACCCTGGAAAAATCGTGGGCAAGCTTACGGGACGAAACTCCGCCGCCACGAGGCGGAACCTTGGCGGAACCAATCTAGAGCTCCGACAGAGTTGTTCTGCCGGGGACACTTCCATCCGGGAGGGGGAAATCATCACCATCATCATCACCAACGATCCTCTCATAGGGAGGGAGTCAATCTCCATCAACATCTTCACCAGCACCATCTCCTCTCAAAACCCTAGTTCATCTCTTGTATCCAATCTTGTATCCAAACCACAAATTGGTACCTGTGGGTTGCTAGTAGTGTTGATTACTCCTTGTAGTTGATGCTAATTGGTTTACTTGGTGGAAGATCATATGTTCATATCCTTAATGCATATTATTAGTCCTCTGATTATGAACATGAATATGCTTTGTGAGTAGTTACGTTTGTTCCTGAGGACATGGGTGAAGTCTTGCTATTAGTAGTCATGTGAATTTGGTATTCGTTCGATATTTTGATGAGATGTATGTTGTCTTTCCTCTAGTGGTGTTATGTGAACGTCGACTACATGACACTTCACCATTATTTGGGCCTAGAGGAAGGCATTGGGAAGTAATAAGTAGATGTTGGGTTGCTAGAGTGACAGAAGCTTAAACCCTAGTTTATGCGTTGCCTCGTAAGGGGCTGATTTGGATCCATATGTTTAATGTTGTGGTTAGGTTTACCTTAATACTTCTTTTGTAGTTGCGGATGCTTGCAATAGGGGTTAATCATAAGTGGGATGCTTGTCCAAGTAAGGGCAGTACCCAAGCACCGGTCCACCCACATATCAAATTATCAAAGTACCGAACGCGAATCACATGAGCGTGATGAAAACTAGTTTGACGATAATTCCCATGTGTCCTCGGGAGCTCTTTTCTCATTATAAGAAATTGTCCAGGCTTATCCTTTGCTAGAAAAAGGATTGGGCCACCTTGCTGCACTT